ATGGAAAAATAATGTCCAACACTTGCTATAATGATTTTATGTAAATTTAAGTGCTGTTTATATGCATTAATAATTGATGGCATTTATAAGTCTATCTAATATTAAGCATTCGTATAGCTATAACATCCAACCAGTGCTACAGTATAACAAAATTTATTCATTGAAATGTAGCATAATTTGTAAATTTGATGCTATAATGTATTGTCATTGAATTAGAGTGACCAACCGTCAAGGTTTGGCCTTGACAGTCAAGGTTTTGAACATTTTGTCCAGTGTCAAGGCGAGGGTCCCACCTTGACAATATAACGTCCAGGCCAAAAAATAAGCAAAATACACTAGTGATTTAAATATTTTAATTAATATTTTAACAAATGATTTTAATAATAATAAGTTTATTAATCATTTGACATAATAATCCGTCAACTTATTGGTAAATTAAAAATTTTAAAATGAATATTTCTAAATATGTCCCTTAACTTAATTTATTCTTTCAAATAGAATAAAAACTATACCTGGACATAAATAATTTTTCATCTCTTAGCATTTTTTATAGTAAAACTAACCGCACAAATTACATAGCTTAACATTTAATATGTCGTACATATAAGTTATTTAATTTAGGTTAGTATACTATAATAAATACTACAAAATGGATTTAAAGATCGCTTTTATTATACAACTGAAAATTATTTAATTGACACACTTATTTCTATACTAAATAAGATTATTCCGATAAAAATTCCATAAATATGCAACTAATTAGACATTGTAAATAATTCAAATTGTCCTGATTTAATAAACAATGAAAATTAAGCTGTGCTAACATGTACCCAGACAATATTATTAAAAAACAAATGTCAAGGTGAATGTCAAGGCGAGTTATTTAAATTGTCAAGGAATGTCCCGGAATTTTTACCTGTTTTTTAAAAAATGTCCCGGTATTACAATTTTTGAGTTGGTCAGTCTACATTGAATGTAGTGATGAACACATCAATGCATTTGCGATTAAGAATTGGAAACCTTTAGGAGAATTGTCACGATTTGGTTGAATGCTTACCAAACACACAAACTTCTCAAAGTAATGGCAATGTCTTTATCTAATTGTAAATCATTCACAATATGATGCTATTCTTTAACAATATAATTGGCAGTGTTTTGTCAAACATTAACCAATTCTCTACTTTTTATCGATTTTCATTGCATTCCAGTCTATAAATATTGAACAATTGAATTGAAATGTATAAAAGTTTCCAGAATATAGCAAACAATTGATATACTTTTTAAGAATATAATTTGATTTTAAATCAAATATTTATCATTTTATTACAAATCCTTCATCAAAAGCCGTATAATTTGTACACATATTATATAATTTATAAATAATTATTAATAAAATATGAGACAAACTAAGCCAAACCTACATATGTCTGGTTTTAATATGTCTGATATCATATTTAATAAAAGCTCTGCATATGAAAATTTTGTATTGGCTAATTGAACTTAATAAATTAATGCTTGTTTGTTATGTTATGCTCTATGTATTTAAGCATTTAACACAATACACGAATGTTTAATGCAATTTAATGGTTATTTTCTCTAATTGCATTCAAAATGTTTATACTAATACACAAGTTTTTGTAAATATTAATAATTGTCATGTAATTAGATTTATTAACATTTAATTTATACATAAATTTTTGAGTATGAAATTTATTAAAAATTTTAATATAAAATGAAAATAATTTATTCATACAACAATAAATAATTCATATAATGTTTGTGATGAATAAACATTTGACAAAATGTTTTTGACAATACATTATTATAATTTTAACAATGTCCAGTAATTGATAAATTAATATCCAATAAGGATAACAATAGTTTTAATAAAACAAAGGCTTATTAAAAAGTGTCAAAACAATATTTTAAGAAATAGCATAATATATATAAATAATGTTGCATTATCTTTCATTTCACTGTAATATTAAAATCATGATATCTTATGATATATTTAATGAAATGGCTAATAAAAATGTTAAGAATATACAATATTTTAAGAAATAGCATAATATATATAAATAATGTTGCATTATCTTTCATTTCACTGTAATATTAAAATCATGATATCTTATGATATATTTAATGAAATGGCTAATAAAAATGTTAAGAATACAGTGAAAGCTCGATATAGTGCTTGAGCAGTTGGAGAAGTTTTTAGGACACTATATCGAATGAACACTATATCGAATGCATGTGGAATAGTAGTGAAAATTATTGTACATACTGTTAAAAACGATATAATCATTTATTTCAATTTTTTAATGTTTTTGAGATAGAAATTTTATATTTGTTTATCAATTTAAATAAATCTTTCTCATTTTAAATCATTGCAAGACTAAAATTAATTAGCTCATACTATAAAACACTATAAAGAGCGTAAAAATAGTAAAATATAACCAAAAATAGCAAAATTTTAACCACTGTATCGAATAATTGACAATATCGAGAGACACAATATCGAGCTTAAATAGCATTACAGGTATACAGTGGCCGCCAAACAAAAATAATTTGAACACTATATCGAAAAAACACTATATCGAGCTATACTCTATCGAGCTTTCACTGTATTTATTAAATATTAAATAAATCAAAATAAATACTAATTGTATGGTTTGTATAATAAAATATTAATACTCAAAGTTTTGACAGTTTATATAAAATAATTAATAAGTTATTATCATTTATAAAGATTTGAGAATTTGAGTCATAACTACTTTTAGGTATAATTTATTGGACAATTGAGGTCTTTTGTTATGATTATAAACATTCAATCACTAAAATAATATGTATTATTATATCGTATATAATATCCACAATCAAGAACTCACTGAAGGAATAGTTGATCAAATCGATTATAAATATAAAATATTAATAATATTGTGTCATATAATCGGGTAATTTATGAAAGTATCTTAAAACTAGAATATATTTTGTATTAATAAAAGATTATATAAAAAATATTCTGATGTTCACGAAGACAGTGATTAATGTCTCGTTTAAAGTGTTGGTGTAATCAAGTGCTCAAAAAATAACAATTTTTATTCCTATAGAAATGCTTTTTCGTTTTTTTGTTACAAAATCTATTATAGAGTCTATAAAATCAAAAAATCTCTTGCATTTACATCTCTTTAGTTCAAACTCTTTTACATTCAAATCGATGTTTTGGTTCACATAGTGTTTAGAAGCCAGCATTGAATGCCTGTTCAATATATACATCACTTACCACTACATTAGTCGTATCAATGATCCAACGGTTGGGAACGGGATTTTCCTCTTTTATCCCTAATATTTCAGTCTTTTATATATCAATATAATTATCATGTGTATTTACTAATACTGTATATACCAATACAAACTTAATTGGTTTACAGAAATTACATTATTTTGTTTTAAATAGTAAAATAAAAATCACTACAATAATTTCTTTATAGCATAATGTTAAATGTAATGTAATAGCACCTTTAAAATTAATGTTTAAAACAAGTTATATTAAATAAATTTTGATTCATGATAATTTGTTTAATTGTCATAAAGTATTAAATTTAATACCAATTATAATGACATTAAATTTGCTGAAATTACATAAATATTAAGAAAGATAGACGATTGTCGGGAATATTGGGATAACAGTATTAGGGAAGTATTGGGAGAGAGTGTGTGATGTCTATTGGAAGATATGGTGCAAAGAGAGAGCAATCCTTTGGCAGTGGAGTGAATGTGATTCACAACTCCCACGGAGTCGTCAGCTTTTATTGCTCGCTATAAGGGATGCTCTTCTCTCTCCTCTCCTCCGGTATTAATAGTAAGTCTGACTCTGAGTTCACGTTTCCATAGAAACAGATTTGAAAGAGAGCTGTGAGTTAGGGATCAGAGAAGCGAACCGATGCCAGAGTGAGAGGCAAAGAGATTGCGACTGCAGTTATGTTTGTGATGGGAGTCTATGCTATACTCTATGCTATACTCTGTGTTATACTCTAATGCTATACTCGTTTTGATTAATTTTCTCCTCAAAACCATAACTCGAACTTTAATTCAATAGAAAAGACAATACAATCGGTTTGTTGTGAGAGAAAAACAATGCGACCATTGATTCACACAAACATCTATTGAATGAAGAGTTTTTTCGACAAACTTTTTTTGTTTTGTGTCACAACTGTTTATAATACACAACAAATTGTGTCGACAATAATGAGTCTAAGTTTAGCTAATATTGAAGTGCTTTTATGCGATGACATTGAAATGCATTGAATTCATTGAACATTTGAGTTATATATCGACAGTAAATGCTATGGAATTCATGTGAAGTATTGAAATGCGATCAATAAAATTGTTGCTCTCTTTTTCTTAATGGTAGTGATTAACCATAATATCAGTCCATTTCATTGAGACAACTATTTTCAGTTCACATCTCTTTCAAAACATATATATATTTGTATAAAATGGCAAAAAGACATCATTTTGTGCAACGAATCGTGATTTCGATTTCGTGTTTCGCTTTCATTCATATAGTGTTTGCTTTTGAATGCGATTCCAATACTAACCCAAACTGTGGACACAATATATACGCCAATTCTCCACACAATTCCCATTTAAATGCATCACAACTTTCTGATAAAAATGGTATTATTTATGATATATGATATACTTTTCAATATTATTGTCTCCAACTTTAACTGCACTCTAAAAACACATTTATTGAAATTCTCGATCATTTATTGCATTTTTGGCCAATAATACCATTATTTTCCATTTCCTACACTTCAGACACTTTTTAGTAGATTTTAAGGCATTATATTTCGGCATCATTTGAGTGGTCAGACCGTTAGCCAAATATTTATTTCCTTACTTTAATAATGGACTTCAAAAATATATTAAATATATTTCTTATTTATTTAATGGATGTCTTATTCAATGTGAATGTCTTTACAAATGCAACCAATTTTTATATCATTTTAATATTTCATTTCTTACAAAGTTTGATATAATGAGAGACAAATCTAATGATCGTTTTCTGTCAAATATGTATAGAAATGACGGCAAACGAGAGCTGTTTCTATAGATGTAATTCATCACAAGATGAGACATGTGTTTCGAGGGATCAGATTTGTGACATCACTAAAGACTGTGCTCATGGCGACGATGAACACCAATCTTGTGGTAAGTGTTGCGATCATTAGGCGATATTCAATACAAACATATTTATATATAATTTATATAATAATATAATAATAATGGACTAAACAATCAGACAAATTGCCGAACGGCTCGTACTGTGGGTTTGGAGCCAATGATTACTGCTTTTGGCAAAACGATGACAACGAGTCTTCTTATTGGGCACCAGAAGCCGATACTACAGAACCTAATGAATGGTATCTTAGCGTCAAAATTAAAAAAATTAAGCAATCATTTGGCAAAAGTACTTCAATAAGAAGTGCTCTCTTCCCACCCTTACATCCATATCTATCCGACGCCGACTCCCAGTATTACAAAACATGTCGTGTAAGCGTTTCTTAACATTTATTTTCCATATTTTATTTTTTAAATCAAAGCATTTTACAAAAAAATGTCAATTGTCTGATCCCAAGACGATATTCATCAATCGTAGCCCTATTTAAATGCATAACTAATTTAATACACACCTGACTTTTACACGTTAGCCCATACTCTCACTCACACAGTGTTAACATTAATAAATGATTTGAACTCATCTTTTATAGTGATTTGAATATTTGAAATGAATGGCTCTTTTGAGTATAGAATACATTCTGAATGCAATTCCCAATCAATCAATGCTTTCTCACTCTTTCTAAGGAAACACTATTTTGCTATCTTTTGTCCTCCAAATAGCTATTAGATGTGAGATCTAAACACCTGAATGTTATTCAATACCTCGATATCATTAACTTTATTGTTAACCCAAAATGATTGCCAATATATTTGTGTACAATCATGAAAACCAAATAAAGGCATTTAATTATTTATTCATAGGAAATCAATTTTATAATAAATTGATGCTAAAAGTGTTGACATTTGATTTGCACTTTAAAATAACGTTTTCATTATTTAAACTCATTTAAAATTCAAAATTGAAAAATCAATTCTAAATAATCTTAAATAATAAATAACACAGAATTAATTTTATATCAATAATACAATAAAATTTTATATATTAATAATTAGATCATAGCCTAAGACAGACAACTTTTTCATTAGTGCTTTAATTTATTTATAATTTTTGAATTTATTGAAATCGTTTAGTTATTCATTCAGTAATGAATTTAATGAATATTATAATAACATCTAATATTAATGAATACAATGTTTACCATATATTCAACACTACAAGTAAATAGTATTAAAATCTATGTATCAAACAGTCGTAAACAGCAATCCATTAATTATTGATTTTTATTATATCCTCTTTTCCGCATCAAAAACAATGTATAGAATAATAAGCAATATATTGAATAAATCATAAAAACATTATCAATGATTTCACAATTTTATTATAACTTTCTATTACTATAAGAATATATTCTATATAATATTATTGCCATTATATTCAGTGTATAGTACAATATAATATTATGTCTTTCGTATAATTTAAGTAAAGTATGTAGGATTTATTGCATTACTTGTATGTGAATTATATGATACCAATACTCTTGAAATCTTATGATAATTAGAAACTGAATAAAATTACGGATTTGAAAATATATGTACATAAATATGAATAGTGTTTCAGATATGGTTACTCCTATTCTCAGCCCTATTCAATATACAGTAGTTATCTGTATGTAAAGTTTATACAGTTTATAACGTTTATACAATTTATACAGTGTATAACGTTTAGTTTTAAAGGTAGATCATTTTAAGTGTATATTAAAAGTGTAGATTATTAAAACCAAAGCTATAGTCTATTAATAAAATATATGAGAATACAATCACAACAGAGTTGATGATCACATAAAATACATGATGGATAGAATGATGGCTAAAATTGAAATTGGTCAATTGTTAATCTACAGTATAGACACTATACAGTAGTACTTTACCATTTATTCAAGTCGGCAACACATAAGGGATTATTTTATTCAATCATTTATTTATATTGCATTAAAGACGTAAAGCATTAATTGTTTTTGCCATTAATCTTATATATTGTTGCATAATAACTGTATACCTATATAATTAATTTAATTTATTAAATTGTTGATTATGAATATATACAATATAAATCAATTTATAACAAATTTATTATTTCAATTATACAATATATTCTAATAATATTAATTAAATTGGAAGTTTCATAAGTTTGGAAGTTTGTTGTAATTAAATGAAATGTAATTTACATTTATGTAAATTCCAAAACATAAAATTTTAAAAGCATGAAAGAAAATTGCATTATATTATGACTTTATGAGTTTATTTCAATATTTATTACCTGATAATTGTTTTCGAAACATTTTACTAATTTACTGCATATCTACATTCTGTATTCTATCGATGATTTATGTATTCAAATATTTATTATTTAATGACTAGATTACAATATATGCTATTAACATTGGTTGCATTAAAATTGCTATCAATAGTATAGACTTGTAGAGAAGTAAACTACAATTTATTAACTTATTTTAATAAATTATATTATTTATAAAACTTAAATATATTTATTAAAAAATAATATGGTAATAAACTGTTATAATAACACGACTATGAATTATAGTAAATGAATGCAATATTAATATTGCTTGTGATATATTCTTGAAGAATATAAGAAAGTGTTAATGCCGTCAAAGTGTTGGCCTTTGAGTGTAAATTTTTGCATCTATTTTAATTAAATTTGACCCAAAATATAATGGCATAATCTCTTAATATATAATGAGTTTAAACAATAATGTCGGCACAAAAATGCATAGAAATTATATTTTTTGCAAACAAAAGGCAATGAATGGATATTTGGATGCTTTTACGCTAATAAACGATTTATATAAAAGTGCTATTAAATTGACAGCATTTGCTTATACATGAGAATGTCGTTTATATCACAATTAAGAGACATTTTTGACATAAAATATAAGTTTCAATAATATTCTTATCGTTAGTATTGTTTCTCTATTATTAGAGAAATTGTTTCCATTATTTTACTCATCGTTTTTAGCAATTTTTCAAAAACTTATTTTTCTGTCATTTAATGACTGCTTTCACAACTGTTTATTGTCCGTCAAATTTCCTAAATTAATTTGAGTTGTGATCAAAATATAGGAATTAAATTCCCTATAATTTATTACTCGTTTTCTTTAATGAAAAATACTATTAAAAACATATTTCGGAAATTATTCTAAATTAATGTTTTAGTCGTAAAATTACATTACAATTAATATTAACATCAAAATACACATTAAAAGTGTGAAAACGTGGTAACAGAATGCAGTTTGTGCCAATTTGTTGTCTTATAATTCAATTTCTATTAATTTTTTTGTTTAACATTTAATAACTATATACTAAACACATTTGTGTTTGGATTGGATTTTCTAACGTATTTTAAACATTAATATAAAGTATTTCAAATAATATCCTCTTTTAATAATGAAAGTAATGAAGTGTACCATAAATGTTGAAAACCTTTAAAATAGTGTAGGTTTTGCTAATAACTAACTCATTAATGAACATATAGTACACTACTGTGTATTCAGCACTCAATTATAACTTACGAGTTAGTTAGTATAGGATACCTGATATAAAACAGCAATAACTATAATAATTAAGTCGTCCATCAAAATAATAAAATCCATTACTTGTACGTATAATACACTATAAAGTACTGTAAAGTACTTTACTTTATGTAAAATAATGTTACATATATTTGCAATTGAATCAAAATACAACTTAATAGTATTTACAATTGTATTATTTTAGATTTAGAAATTAAAGAGAAATTAATTAAACTAATTTTATTTTATAATTAAATAGTTTATCTTGTTTCTTGCCCTTCTCTCTCTCTCTCTCTCTCTCTCTCTCTCTC